AAGTAGGTGGGAGGAGAGAGAGAGAAAGAGTTAAAAAAAAAACCAACAAACACCCCAACCCAACAAAAACACACACACACACACACACACACATAAAAAGAAAAAAAAAAAAAGCAAGGAAACGATCTCTAAATTATGTTAATCTGTGAACATTGGGGACACTTTGGATTTTTGACCCTGGCAAAAGTGATCGCTCCAGCATAACGTCATCTGCTGCTGTCAGTTTTGCTACCTTGTGCATGTGTCTAACTAAACACGTTTTGAAGATCAGAAATATATTAGAACGAAACTAAACAAAACAAATAGTAATAATAATAAATAATAAATCCTTGGGGCTGGTCTCCATTAAAGATGACATTTCTTTGTTGCCAACAGTATTATTTCACTGCCATGAATCTCTTCCATCACTGAGGAGCTGCTGCTGCAGAACTGGTTTGAATTTAAATGTGGAATTTCAGATCTGAGGCAAGGCAGTTTTTTTTTTTTTTCCTTTTCTTTCCAAAAAAAAAAAAGCAGCAATAACAAAAAAATGTGTGTCTCAAATGGCTATGTCCTTTGAAAGGAGAAAAAGAGAGAGACTAGAATTTACTAATCGTTAGTGGTAACTTGAAAGATGGGAACAATAAGAAATGCACCTGTTTTGCCAGAATCACCTGAACTCAATGAGATGCATTGTGCCAGAGAAACAGGTCGATTTTTCTAATTTTTTTTTTTTTTCCAAATGTCTGGATCTTTGAATCAAAATCTCGCTGTTTTACAGGATGCAGAAAGAATGACTTGTACAACAAAGATGAACGTATGGTTTTAAGGCATAATACTGATGCAGCATTAATTTTAGTGAAATGCAATTAAGTCCAGTAAAGTGCAATACTGTAAATATTATAGATTAAAAAAAATAGCCGTACTTATTCTGTTAATAACCAATTCTGCAAGAACCATAACTTAAGTCCTTTATGCTCAGACTGGTGCATTGCAGCTTCTTGCCAAAATGACAGTCGGAGTCTTCTGTGAATGGGTAAAGTTATATGCATCACATATGGGAAAAGGTAGATGCCATGATTTCTAGTCGAGTTAATGTGCCATATTTCTGGGAAGTGAGCTGAAAAGGCTGTATGACACTTCTGCAACCATTTTAAGTAAAGAAAAAGAAAACAAAACAAAAAAACCAACCCACAAAAGTGTTTTGTAGAGGTGGACAAGTTCAATATTTGGCCATTTTAATTTTTGCCTGTGAGTTAGACACCAAGTCTAAATGCTTAGGCTTTGCTTAAGCTAATGCTTAAGCAAAATAACTAGTGTAAATCCAGAAAGGATGGGGAGTAAGGAAATACTTTAAATTATATTACCAACATGTCTGGATTTACTGACACCACCACCCCCCCCCTTTTTACTTTTTATGCTATTCACTTCTAATTAGTTTATTATATCTTTTTTTATTTCCATTTTTTTTTTGGTGGGGGGGAGGGAGGAAGGTACAAATATTGGTCTTGTCTACATCTAACAAGATAGCTATTTGTTGCCGTCGTTACCAAGGCCTGTGCTGATGGAAAGTTATCCTCTCAATAGTACCGTTATTAAGCCTGCTTTTTATGTCTCGTTTAGCAATCCATTACTAGTTTTGGCTTTTGCTGATATTTATCAAACCCAAATATTACTGTAGGACAAAAATTCATGCTGTAGATAATTTTTAGACACTTGTCTTCTTTTTTGTTTCTCCTTCAAGTTTTGATATTTTCTAGCAAGCAAAATTTCTGGAATGTCAAAGTTGTGCCATTTCCCTTCTATTTATTACGTGAGAAGTAGTTATATTTTGGATTCGCTAGAGCCGATAAATGTTACCTGCCTTTTCTACCTCTCTGTGAAAGCCCAGTACCTTTTTAAAGCAGGGCCAAAAATGTTAAGATAGTGTTACTTGTTGCTGAGAAACACGGACAAAAATCTCAGGCAATTAACAATTTCTTATTGAAACAAAACATTACCCAGAAAGTAAAACATTATTCATGATGATGTATGAATTTCTGGCTAAAATAAGAAATATTTGGAGTGGTTCCAGCACTTCTAAGGTGCAGATCCGAAAAATAATAAACATTACTACAGAGATGCTTTAGGCTATAACAAGTAACCTGTTGTACTGGATACCCACAGCCATGGAGGGAGGATTTGATTCAGACTGTTGGAAGACCGAAGGCGTAGAGCTTTTGACTGAGTGGGGACTGCTTGTTGTCTGTACCTGTGACCTAATTATTGCCCTTTCAAGTCCTCTTTTGGGGGTTTAAGAGAGGCTTATGCGATTTTTTCAGTCCTGTGCTGGACTTTCACAAAAGAGTGATTTTCACCCTCAAACAATTCCATAGAATGAGCTCAGCTGAAGCGGTAAAAGTTGGGGATCTGAATTTTCTCAGACGTCTTCTGCGTGAGGCTGTGAAGTGCTACCGATCTTACGGTGTTACAGGATGCACGTACAGCGTGCATCCACCTCAGATCGGAAGGAAAAAATTTCCCACCTTTGCTGTTTTACTAGGTACCAACACAGCAAAAATGCTTGTCTGTTTCTCTCAGAAATTTTGCTGCACACAGCTTCTTTCTTGTATTCAAAAAATAGCGGTAACGTGAATACAGTTCCCTGATAACATGAAATGAGGCTGGTAGCATAGCATACATCTTTCCAGAATGAAAAATTCTTCCGGTTTCTTCTGATTGCTTTCAACGGATGTCTCAAGGACAGTCTTGCCCTCTACCGCAGAAGGGAAGAAGGTGGCAAGATTTATCAGCTTAGCCTGTTTTGAAGGAGGTACCGTAGATCAGCCTGGGGAAAGGGGCAGGGTGCAAATCTACCAAGGCGCTTCATGCTGCTCTTGCATTTCATTTAGCACAGAAGGAAATGAAAAGGTGCACTGCGCAAGGGGTGTAGCCGAAACTGGTTCTGCTTTGCTTATTTCTCACATGGGCCAATTGCATCAGTGGTGGTATAAAAGCTTTGCCTTGCTTTGGATGATGCATGCAGGTGGTGGCCTCCTCTTCTTGTCATCCTTGCATCACTGGGAAGAAATGAGGAGTCCTACCTGGGCTACCATGTACTGGACTGTGCTTTTCACTAAGTGTAAGTCACCGGGGCTCCATTCACCGTGTGGAGCTCCAGTGTTCCATATAAGTTGAGAATCTGGACCAAAGCATCTACTCCATCTCTGTTAATGTGTGGGGTTTTTTTTTTTTTTTTGTGTGTTTCTTTAATTATTTTTCTTGAGGATGTTGGAGGTTGAAGATAAGACAGTCAAGGTCCTGAGGTGCTTATTGAAGTTTAAAAGTATTGTAATTGTTTTAGATTCTCGGGCAAGCCAAGCCTCATTTATTGTCCACCATCATTCGGCTTGATCTTTGTGTAAATCTTTCATTTGAGAAGTGCGAGATTTCCAAGATCATCAGAACAGCAGCCACTGGGCAGCATTCCCTTGGAGGAGGCCTTTGTTTAGTGTACGTGGATTGCTAAAGAATCTTCCTCAAAAGTTTGGTCTGGTATTTGAAAAATAGCTTGAATGAATGCCAAATGAATAATGCTGTTTATAAACAAGTCTATAAAAAAAAGCTTTATGCATTGCATGGGCCCCTTTATAACGGAAAAAATAGTCTCTGATTTTTTTGGAACTGTCAAATAAGTACTTCATTGGTTTGTATCAAAATAGCAAGCTGACTCCATGGTTCATTTTTATTGACTTGGAAATGCGTGAAAAAAAATTATACTGGAACTTTTTTTGCTTAGTAGGGTCATATAGATGTAGTGACATTTTGGTTAATATCATAATACTTAGCACTTATATAATGTTTATTTGCAAAGCACTGTATAAATGTTTATTATTTAATCCTCACCCATTATGAAGTAGGTAAGAATTATTATCCCCATTTTTGTAGAAATTAAGGCATATAAATCAAGGGCCAGGTTCCATCACCCATTGTCAGCACTGAGTATTATTACTTTTGTTTTTGTAATGTAGCAGCATCCCCCAGATCATAATCTGACACCAGCTTTGCGGTGCTAGACGCCTTTCAAAACTGTAAGTAGCAGAGGCCCTGCTCCAAGAAATTTAAACTCTGTACCTGACTTCAGCAAAAGTTCTAAAGGGAACACTGAACGCGATTCAGAGTGGCAAAATGTGTCTGTGAGCTATTTCCACAGAACACGAAATTACTGCCCAATCCTCTGACCCTGTACGTGAGTGGGAATTTGGTTTATGGCTCAGTGGGGACAAGTTGTGGCAGTGCTAAGACTAGAACCAAAAATCCGAGTTCCCAACAGCATGCACAAATTGCTTGAAAACCCAGATTTCCAACTTCCCCTACTATAAATTTTTCAGACAGACCAAGTGTGCTGATGTCAATTCTTTGCATGCTTTGTCTGCTATATCTTCTAGTCCTATGTTTGCCTATGAAATAATAATAAGACGTGATTTTGAATTGACATAGCATTGACACATTGGGACTATTGACTCAAATACGATAGACGTGTAATCCTATGGAAATCCAGATCCCTAAGGCAAATCCAGGTTATGAATTCTTTTCTTTTTTTCTTTTTGTGATGAAAAATACGCCTGTTTTCTGCCCTTTTAAATGTGCTAGGCAAAATAAATTGGTTCTTTTTTTAAACAGATAATTTAAGTTTTTGGAGACATTATTACTTTGGAGGTGGCAGGCTTTCCCCCCTTCAGTTCAAGGAAGATTTTCAAAGTATAGGAAAAAATAGATTACACATCTTTCTTAGAAATGTGTTTATTTTTATAATATCTAATATCTAATGATCCAGGTGGTGTCCTTGTAATTGCTAATTGTACTCAACTCTATAAAGTGCGCACAACCAATATGGTTGGAAATTTGTTGTGTTCCTGCTTAAAAAGGGTGGTCGAAGTGCCCCACTCCTCATTTGTAAGCAGCCTACTGACCCCACGATGTTGTTTTCTTTCCCTGATGTGACAGAATACGCATGGCTAACAAGTTTCCAAACAGCTGTGGCTAATGCGGCAAGAGCTTCTCATTTGGTCACTTGAAAATCTCTACTGGTTGCAGTAAGACGCAGTAGGGCCGGAGAAGGCCTGGCATTGCTTGGGAACAAACACAAAATAAATGCAGTGTGCTACAGAGTGTGATCTCCTCTCCCTAAGAGAGGAATAGAGCCTTCTGCTTTACGACTCATGCTTTTTGTAAAATTGCATCTCCAAGTCACACCTTTAAAAGGTGCAACATGGGTCCCATCAATGTAACACAGTGGCTAATGTTATATTGTTTATTTTTGTTAGCTGGCCTTTCTAGCCCAGTCAGTGGAAGGCCATAGGCTTCGGTGTTTGAGGCATTCTTCAAAAAGGGTATGATGCCAGATAACCCTCAAATTTCTTTTGTCTGTTAGACAGATTTGATGCTAAAAGTTGGTGCCTAATTTTAGTAAATCAGCTTAGAAACTGGCTGATTTCCAATAAATAATTGAAACTTGATGCAGTTCATACACCTTATATTGAAAATTGATATTTAACTAAAATCAGTTGAAGAATGTAGAAAATATCAGATTTTGAAGCTGAAGATATTTATTGAAAGGCAATACTTTCATGAATCTAGGCTTATGGTATGTATTAATTACATCAAAGACAGGCAAATATCTCTGTTTCTTTGTATTAATGTATGTGGATGTTTTATTTATTTTTTGTTTGAAAATTTCTAAATGTGTATTATTTTAATTATGTTGAGTGTAAATTTGACAATGCTTTGCATTTATTTTTATATTTTTTAAACCTGTTGCTTTTGCAAAACTATGAGCAGCCAGTATGATTTGCGGTACCATTGCATTGTTTTGGTTACGTACACATAGTGTGTCTGAGTTTACAGACATTTCAGGGATTGCTAAAATGAAAAAAAAAAAAATCTCCCAAACCATCTCGTCTTAAAAGTTTGTACCCGTTTGTTATTGTGGAAGATAAAAATGAACAAGGAAACAACTTTTTTTTTTTTTTAGGTTTCAGTTATGCCAGCATGCTCCTACATGAATTCACCAGACATGTTGAGTTCCAGTTTCAGAGTGTATTATGTTGAATCACATGATATGAATGTACATCTTGTAAAAGTGAGATATGAATAAACTTATAAATATTTGTAAACATGTGTTAACGGATACCCAGAATAACTGCTACCAAAGGGACTACTAATAACAAGGCGTTTCCCCCTGTTGAAACAGAGATTTTCCTTCCGCATTTAATGCTTTTTCTTTTTAAAGCGCCTTATTCATGTTCTCCTTGCAAGGAACAAACGCAGTGCATCTTACCCTGTAGCTGTTCCACTTACAGATCTCTCACTGGCTTCTATGTAAGTTTTACAAAGCAAGTTATAGCTTAGTGATGACAAATCAGAAGCAACTTTTGCGTCCTATCTACCAGTATGAATTATTTTGTTAGGGATCCTATTTTTTTTTTTAAAGGATTGATAATTTTTCCTTAGCGTAAGAAGAAATAAAGGAGTTTTCATAGCGGACCATTCTAGGAACCGTATTTGACAGGTGCAATCCGTTGTCTGTTCAAATCCATAGAAGAGGCATTAGATCAGGCCCTTATTTTTCAGACCGTTAAGGAGTTTTTTCCATGTCCCTGCTTGTCAGTATGTTAGATGCAATTGTCTCCTCCAGTTTTATTCTTTCTAGTCGCAATCTGGCATTCCGATGTTGAAAAGTTTATCCAAAGAATCCTCTTGTTCCCGTGCACCGTGTTGTTTCATCAACAGTGCCAAAGCAAACTGGGTTAGTGGAAATCTTTGTTAGGTTACAGTCTGTGGATCAAGTTCTAAACTTCTGAACTAGTCACAAGAGTTAGGTTAGACTTGTCTTGTTTGAAAGCCAGTTCGTCTGACACATAAGTTGCATCTAAACTTCATCAGCCCTACAAGAGCTGTAGTTAAGTATCCCAGCCCTTTCCCCAAACCCTTCTGCCACGTCTTTATTTTTTCTTGTCTGCAGCTGGCTGCATGAGCTGAAGTCAGAACCTGTACCTAGCTCTTCTAACCCTGCATTTTCTGCAAGTATTTGCATCTAGTGGAACCCTGAGCTGGAACATAGCTGGAAAGCAGTTGGTACAACAGTCCCACATCGTGATTGCTGTTTCTCTCTAAGTCAACACCACAAACTGACATCCTGTTTCTCCTGTCATTAACTGTGTAAGAGACAGGCTATTATAAGAAAATGAATCCTTCCTTTCTGTCTCTTAAAGATATGTGGGCAGTGAATGGTTGTCAGTAACATGTACTGTAAGAGCAATCAGAAAAAATATAAAGTGATAAGAGTATGTGTTGAAAGATTAGCTTCACCAGAAGACCATCTAATAGCAATCTGTTAATAAATATGTTTTGACACTCCATTTTTCATCTGTTTATATTCAGGTCAGATGTTGAAAAGAGAGATAGGTTCTTTTGGCAATTTGGCTATTAGGAAGAGGGTTTTTTTTCCCTCTTCATTTTCGTTAATAAGCATGTTTTTCCAATGGCTACTTGTTCTATTGCTTTCTGAAATTATTGACAGTTCTGAGGGAGGTTTCCTCTCTCTTGTCTTTGGCCAAATTTTTCTTCTTCTTTGCATGAAAATTTATTTTTAATTCAAAAAAAATTATACTTTGACCCTATTGCCATCAGCACTTTTGGCTACTGTCTCTAGTTCTCTCTGCAGGATCTGAATTGAACTGGATAGGAATAAACACAGTAACAAAATAAATTCCTTATGAATTGTCGGTAAAATTTTCCTTCCTTTCTTGAGTAGCTTCTCTCTTAAACTATTATTTTTTGAGCTGCAAATGTCTGAAAAGAAAATTATGAGGAGCTACACAGGAAACAGGACTGAGTATCTGCTGGCATGAATACCTGTGAATTGTGGAGATTTTACCAATATCTGTGGTTCTGTCCTATATTGCTTGCATACCCAAAACTCCAGTGAAAGTTAGAGAGAAATCTGTATACGAAGTCTGCATGAGCAACCGCAGAAAGATAGATCAAGGAAAGATAGATTCAAGGACCACGTATAAATGACTAGATATTGGACAACAGAACAAAAGGAAATATGTGTAATTTCATTTCCCTGAATCAAATACTCGGACTTCACTACCAATATGATTAAGGGTAATGATCCTACTTTTACATTTAATTGCTGGTTTATAATTGCTACCAAGAGGCTATAAAAATACAAGGTCAGAAAGCTGGATCCAAAAAAGAGTCTTAATGCCTCACTCTGAAGTTAGACTTCAGAGGAATTTAAGCACTTAGTTCCAAAACCTTAACACAGGACTCTTGGCTGCTTGTCAAACTCTACTGAAGCCTGAGGGCTGCAGGTCCTCTTGTTCCATGCATTAAATTTCTCCATGAGCCTCACATTCTACTTCTGTGTGCGCCTGGCACCTGACAGATCTCTGTGGCTGTGAGGCTTGCTCCCTTTTTAGCCTGATTGAGTTACAGAATCTGGGCATTTGTTTCGCCTTG